GACATATCTTTCCCTTTTAATATATCAATGATTACAAAACGGATTTTTTTTAATTTTAGGAGTGTTTTTCAAGTATGTGTGATGATTTTAGGGGTTTTTGACTTATAGCCGTATTTTTAATTAGACGAAGTCAACTGACGTTTACTGTGTTATAAAAATAGTGTTGTGACAAAGTGAATTTTTAATACATCATATAGTTGAAGCTATAGATGTATAAAATATAAATAGGTAGGTAATGAAAATAAAAAAAACATCGCTTATTACATAATTTGTTTTTATTCATCATCAGATAAAAAGTCATCACTATCGCTTTCGGTGACATTAATTATAAATCTGTCTGAAACATTGTCGATCATGTGGTCGAGACCATACATTTTGTCTTCTTCTTTAATTATATGAGACACGCAGCTACTCCATTTTTCAGGTGTGATATGTTGAAGTCCTTCTTTAAAAAGTTTTTTTTACTTCTGTCATTTTGAAGGTTTTGTTATTTCTTACAACATATCGTTTAGCCTGCACCCATACCAACTCAATGGGATTGAGCTCATAGTGGTATGGGGGCAGACGTAAAACAATTATCCCATTCTGCGCTGCCATTTCGTCCACAACATACTTATGTTCAACATACAAATGTTCTTGTTTGTGCTGCCGTACAATGTCTATAAGAGTAGCTTTAACCATTGTTTCTTCGAATAAAATATTTTTGCTCGTTAGCCACTCTTGTATTCTAGGTTTAGTCCAAGACAGCGATTCTAGTTTCCTGGAGGGGTAGGGGGCATTATCCATCACTACTACGGAATTTGGTTTTAGTTTTGGCAAGCCCCCCTAAACCACTTTTTAAAGGAATCGGCATTCATCTCTTGATAATAATCTTCTTTATTTTTTTTGGCTTCAAATATTAATAAGCTGTCTGCTACGAATCCTTCTTCCCCGCCTATATGGCCGATAATTAATCGTTTGCCAGTGAACAAACCATCTAGGCATGCCTGGCGGGACGATAACACTGTCTGATCAATCTATGCCTTCTTCGGTACATGACCTTCAAGATAGTGAAAAATATCAATTAATTATTGAAAGTACAATTTAATGTAAAGAAAACAGAAAATTGTAATTACCTCCGTTGATCCAGGTTTGACCTCGGTAATAAATATCCTTCTCTTCGATACTCTTTAATTTTTCGAAGGTATCGCTGGCGCCATAAAATAATGTCCTGTCTGTCAATTAAAATGCTTTGTCTTGATTTTGTGACATATTTGAAATTTATATGTTTCATAACATTTCTTAATGTACTCTGGAATTCCTTAATGAAGTCTGGGCTTCATTGATAGCCTTAAGAATCTGTAAAGTAATAAAAAAAAGTTTTTGAGTAAGGAAGTCTACGCAATCTAATACTTTGGTTTTAGAAAGAACATTATGGTGGACACAGAATATAATGCATGCTCATTTGCATAAAAAAAATGATGTACTTTTCGACTTATAGCGGCAAAAGTGAAATCGTCTAATTTATTTTTGAAACTGTGTTTCGGTCCACGTTTCTCGGGAGACTTAAACTGTTCATTTTCTTTGCATTCTTTTAACACACTGTAAACGAAATCCATCGGCTATTGATGCCAGCATTTGTAGTGCTTCAATCACTTCACTATGAGAATGGTGAGTGCATGATGATTGTACGGGGAGCTATCATTTTCCTACGTTTAATCGTGTTTTATTATTCGTTGATAGATACCAAATTAATCCTCCCATTGAAAAATTGTTATACAACAAGACAGACTGGACGAAATACAATGAGCTGTCTATAACTGCTTTTTCTAATTTTGAAGTTAATATTGAGAATCCATTACAGTCATATGACGAATTTATTGAAAGGGTTGATACACTTAGGAGAGATACTGTGCCAAAGTTTGTCAAAGAAAATAACTATCGTCCAAATCTCCAGCACATTGGTGGAGTGACACATGTGAACAGAGTGTTATTAAAACTTATGAAGCTTTAAAACTGTACACAAGGGATCCAACCATTGATAATTACATTAATTACAAAAGACTTGATGCTGTTAAGAAATAGACTATTTCAGAACATAAACGCAATGGTTGGGCGAACATCTGTAATACTTTTATCAGAACTACACCTGTTAGTATTATTTGGAAATACATCAAGTTATTTAAACGAATAAAATGCAATAATAGAACATATAAAGACGAATTTGTTGTCCCTCTCTTAAAAAAATTATCTCAAAATGGATGTAGGGTTATTGATAATCTAGAAAGCTATTTTCAAATTAATAATAGTCTTCAGAAGTCTAGTTTCCTCATAGAACCCTTTACTTGGAGTGAGTTTTGTACAAGTTTACAATCCAGACGAAACACAACCCCTGGTTTAGAGGATTGTACATACATTTTGATCAAAAACCTAAATCAGTTCGTTCAAAAGAAACTATTAGCTAATCTTAATGCTCTTTGGCACTTAAAAAAATTCCTGAATCTTGGAAAACACAGTGTGTAATCCCTCTACTTAAGCTTGACAAGCCACCTGAAGATCCTAATTCATATTTGTCATCTTGTGTTGAAAAGCTTAATGAAAACATGATAAATATGCGTCTTGAGTGTTGTGTAGAGGCGAACAACATCATTCCACATGTTAAATATGGCTTCCGGAGAGGAAGAAATTATGCTGACAGCTTCATCTCTCTGTTGTCAGATCTGAAATATGCCAATAATAGTAATAAGTCCAGTGTTTGTGTTTTTCTGGATGTTGAAGGTGCGTTTGATAATGTAGATCCTGGCATTTTGGTTCAAGTTCTTTCTGACACTGGTATACCAGGCATACTTTGCCATTGGTTATTTAATTTTTTAACAGATAGAACTTTGTATATAAGGCATAATAACATTCTCCATGGTCCCAGAAGGGTCTACAAAGGTACAATGCAGGGAGCTATATTATCTCCATTGCTGTACAATATATATACTAGTCAAATTCTTAATTTTGTATATATAGGTGTAAATATTTTACAATTTGCGGATTATCTTGTAATATATTGTACAGACCATAATGTAGATAGAGCTGTAATTAGTATAAATAATGCTTTAGATCAATTACATATATATATGTGTGTATTATAATATACATATAATATAACGACAAGTTGTCTCTGCAGATTAATCCCAAAAAAAGCAAGGCCATGATTTTTCGTAAAGATTTTCCTTCTAATGGCATACTCTACAATAATCATCCAATTTCAGTTGTATCTAACCATAAATTTCTGGGTGTTGTCATTGATAACAAACTTTGTTTTAATTTACACATCAATCACATTATAACTAACTCTCTTAAGGGCTTAAATATTATAAGATGTTTAGCTGGTGTGACTTGGGGTGCAGACCCAAAATTTTAAGTATGCAATATAAATCTATAGTCAGAAGCCACTTCGACTACAGTTGTTTAGCCTACTCAAATAGTAGTTGTGTAAAAAAACTAGACATTATTCAAAACAAAGATCTGCAAATTATTTCTGGGGCTATGTGTTCAACTCCCATACAAGCTATGGAATTTGAAACCAAAATAATGCCACTGTGTCTTAAAATACTTCTGCTAATAGAGATATATTTACTAAAGCTGTTATCGGGTAGTGATAATGTTCTCAAAAAAATAATACCCTTTCCTGTACAATGCTCGGCCCAGCAGACTTCGGGAGGTGAGCTTATACGAGGTTATTTCCCAGTTCTACCTCTCATTGTACTGCAAATGATTTTAAAAATGTAATTAAACAATCAAAGTGGACATGCTACTCATACCCATATTCCTGTATTATATTTGAGACCAACATTGTTACTAAATTTTTTTTAATATATGTGAATTATTAAGTTTTTTTTCCGACAATAACTACTATACTATTCAGTATACAGATGGTAGCAAAAGTGAGCTCTTTGTGTGCAGTGCTGTTTATGATCCCCAATCCAAGTTTGGTCAAAGTTTCCTTCTGGAATCTAAATGCAGTATTTTCACTGCAGAAGTATATGCGACCCTCGAGGTCCTGAAGAGGATCGCACGTATAAATAAATTTAATATTTTTTTTTAATTTTAACAGACAGTTTAAGTATGGTCCAAAGTTTAACCAATCTCAGATTTGACTTTAAAAAAAAAAGTATATTTTGTATAATATTAAAAAATTGTTATTTAGTTATGCATAAAAGGGTATATAGGTCTCTTTCATGTGGATTCCTTCACATAGGGGCATAACAGGAAATGAGATAGTAGATAAAAACGTGATGGAACCAAGATGTTGGATGTTAGCTCCATAGTAAAAGTACCTTTGACCAACTGTTATCAATCTATTGTCAACCAGGTCAATAGTTTATGGATCGAATTTTGGAAAGAAGATCAAAAACAGAAGGGTAAATGGTATGGAAATGTTCAAGAAAACCTACCTATAGCACCATGGTATAACAAACTGAAAATGGCCAGTCAGGACTTTATTACGACTATAAACAGACTGCGTTTTGGTCACTCCACCGTCCCGGCCCATCTGGCTCGGTTGGGCATAGTGAAGAGCAGCTACTGCACCTTCTGCAATAATTCTGTTGGTGATATCGAACATTTCATATTTACATGTGAGTGCTTTTCATTTGACAGATTGATCCTTGTCAGTGAAATTAGTGACATACTGCAAAATCAAGTGACAGTGCAAGATCCCTCCCGCCGCCTGAGTGATATGTTAAAAAATAGATCCTATTACGTGCCTCTATATAAATTAATCAAAAATATAGTGGGGATATTATAATAAACCGAATAAAAATACTCAAGACTTGGCCTAAAGGTCTAGATACCAGGCCATAGACTCAAAAAAAAAATCAATTTTATAAATAAAATGGCGTCAAGCCAAGCTTGATAGAATTGGATAGAATAGAAAATAGATGGAAGCTGTAACTTTAATCTTTGGGATTTATTGTAATATTATGGAATTGATGATTTTATAAGTAAAAATGATGAGTTAATATTCCAAAATGGAATTTGATGAGATCGTTGTGAAAGAGAGCCCGGGACTATGCCGGTGCTGTCTTTCCGAAGGTTGCTACAAAGACTTGGGTACGGAATATACTTGGATGGATGATACAGAAATTTATGCTGATATGTTATTGGAGTGTTTCGATATAAGTGTAAGTTTTTAAAGTAAACTCTTATATATTATTCTTTAATATGTTTTTTATTCATGTTTACAAAATTGACCAATTTCAATAAATGCAAAAACTATTCTTACTGGATTCCTCTTTTCGTTTATGAGTTAAAGCATTAAAGACTTACCTATTATAGCAGTGTTAACTCCTTATCTCCTTATAATATTTAAAAATAATATATATAAAAGTAATGACTTTAAAATATTAATGATAAAAGTTTGGTGTAATATAAACACAATGCTGTGCATTTTGTAACATTTGTTAAAAGATGTTAAGAACTTGTACACTATTTCTTTTAATACTGAGCGTCGTCCTGAACATGACTAGTTGGCGTACATAAGATGCAAATATTCTAGTTCACATTTATAAGATGCAAATGAACTAGTTCACTTGCTATTAGACTGGTTCTTACTCTGGTACTGTACTACTATTAAAATATAATACGTAAATAAAAATAATTGGCGATATAATGCCCTCTGGATCGAATTTCGTCAGGGCAGCCAGTCTCAACAGAGCCTAGCCATTTGAGCAGGGCAGGATTATTGTGCCATGTCGAGAGAATGAATGAAGAATGATTGACAAAAAAAGTGTATAAGGCGAGTGTGAATGAAAGTGTTGGAAGGGGTACACCTAGGCGGATGTTTCAAGACCAAATCAGGGACGTCTTGAAAAAGGCCAGGTCAAGAGTACCTTAAACTGTAGAGCATGTATGAAGGGAATAATGAAAGTGGACAAAGCGAAACAAGTATGTAAGGATCGTAGCAAGTGGTTTCTGCCTACCCCAATGAGAAAGAGGCGTGATTGCGTGTGAGTGAGTGATATGTACGTATGTATGTATTATTGTGCCCAAATGGGGAATTGGGACTTCAAAGTCATTAGTAACATTTACGACCACTAGACCAAAGATTGTTTGCACGGTATTATGATACATTTAGTTGTTTTTAAAAATGAAAGTATTACTGAAATACTAATACTAAAGATAAGATACAAGAACGATGTACTATAATTTATCAAAACTATCAGTAGAAGTATTAAATTAAATAATCTAGTGATACATATGTTTTGGTCAAAACTATATGTATCTCTATTCATTTTAGCGATGTATTTTGCACATGTCTACTAAATGCTACACACTTATTCCCTTATTTTTGTCTTATTTTGTCATGTCTACGTACTTCTTTTTAATCATTCTTCTTAATACACTTGAAATATATAAAGTGACTAATTTAATTGTTTTCTAATCAAGTTTCTTGTTTTATTTATTTTAACTTTTTTTTATCAGATATCTCAACACAATGAAGGCCCGAATGGTCCCAACAGGTTGATCTGTGAGGTGTGCATTACTAGGTTAAGAGATGCCTGCAATTTCAAGAAGCAAGTATTGGCGTCGGAAAAAAAGTTTGTAGATATGATAGGTCGTGGCGCTTTTAAACCGAAAGGTAAGCCTTAAATATTACGAGATGTGAAGAGACATATTATAGTTAATGAAGTAAGTTTTTGCTATATATGGTTGTAGCACAAATGGGTCAGCTCGACCAGGGTAGAACTACAGTCTCAGAATACCAGTATAAAATAGCAGTTTAAAACTGCTGTGTTTCGTATGGTGAGTGTAGAGAACCAGAGACCCTTTTCACTGGAAATGAGGCATTCTATCTTAATCCTTAAGGGTGGCAACGCATCTGCATTTTGATCCTTAATCGGGGATAAATGTAGATGTCTATGGGCCACAGCATCTACTTACGAGGGCGGCACTGAAAATTTCGGGAATCAAGGAAGTGACACAACATTACTATTTAAAAATGTATTTATTGTTTTTCGAAGTATTCTCCTCGAAATTTGACACATTTTCCATACGATGGAACCAATCATTGAAGCAACCATTCCATTCGGAAGTTGGGGTCTCCAAAAAGGCCGTTTTGTAGGCGTCCACAGCTTCTTCAGGTGATGAAAATCTCTGTCCACACAATTTATTCTTTATTTTAGGGAAAGTATAGAAATTATTAGGGTCTAATAATTCTGTTTTCTTGCTCTAAAAACTCTTTTGTTCTGTGTGCGGTGTGAGAACTCGCATTGTCGTGATGGAGGATGATGCGGCGGTTGCAGTTCTCTTTACGGAGTTCAGAAACGACCTGTGGCAAACAAATGCTAGCATACCATTCTGCATTAACCGTTCTTTGTCCCCCAAGAGGAATAGTCGTAACATGGCCGGTTTTGGAGACAAACGTGACCACAATTTTTTTTGCAACACTGCGTAAACGAACAATTTTTGTTGGCTTTAACTCATTTTCGAACACCCAAACTCGTGACTAGTTTTTGTTTCGGGTTCGTACACGTATATCCAGGATTCGTCACCTGATTACGATGTTGTCTACAGCATTTGAGGATCCTGCGTGGAATCTTTCGAAAGTTCTGACGCACCAAGTAACGCGAGCCGCTTTTTGCTCTTTACAGAGCGAATGCGGTATCCATTGGGAAAACAACTTTTTTACACCTAATTGTTGATGCAAGATTATTTGTATTTGACTCATGCCAATGTCTAAAGTTGCCTGAATTTCACGGTATGTCACATGTCGATCTTCCTCAATCAGCTTACGCACAGCATCAACGTTTTCTTGGGTGACTGCAGTTTTTGGACGACCTTGACGGGGATCATCACTGAGCTTGACACGTCCACGTTGAAATTCAGCAAACCAGCGATAAATTGTGGTTTTGGATGGGGCTTCTTCACCAAATGCAGAAATCATCCGGTCAACACACTGTTTTTGTTTTAAACCACTTTGAAAGTCATAATAAATCATCGCTCTTGAATTTTCTCGAGTCAATTCCATTTTCTCAACGATTAAACAAGTTAGATAAAACCTTGTGGCAAGACCGAGAATCGTTTTTTAAATAAATAAATGGTATTCGATATTTAAAACCAAGGGGTTTTCAATTAAAAAGATTTTAATATGACAGGAACAGTGGAAATATTCTATTCCCAATACTTTTAGTGCAGCCCTCGTATCATCAGGTGCATTGTGTGGTCGTTTGTCACCCATATTCCTTAAAAAAACTTTAAATACTCAAATATTTTAACTAGTCAAACAGTAGATTAGGGGCTAAGCGCTCGTTGTAAATTTAAGTACAGTATGCGAGCAACTTTGGTTTGTTCCCTGCTGGCACTAATGAGATTGTTAATTGCAATTATAAGTGTTGATTTACCACATGCATGGTGGTCAAGGGAAACATTGAGAAAAATCAAAAACATGTGAAGTTCACCAACATGCATTGGGGCAGTGCAGCTGACATTTCCTTGCCCTAAAACGCTCTCAGAGAAAGACATTGTTCTTTGTTGCTATATGTTTTATTATACGTGACATGTATGTAAAAGCATATTTATTTGTATTATTTGGTTACTAGAAATAAAACAAGTTTTAGCCGTTTGTAAGTTCTCCAACCAGTATTTTTTCTAAATAAAAGTATTTTTCCAGTATTTTTGTGCACTTTTTGCTTTGTAAATGGCTGGTAAGGGAAAATGAAATTTTTACTAATATTTACGGTGTAGGGTCAGTGTAAGAATATCCACTACCCCATATCATTCCGTGGGTGTTGTAAGAGGCGACAGAGGGAAGCAAATTAGGAGATAGGCAGCAGCATCTTCCTCATAATGACTAGAAATAACAAACTGCGGTTGCCAGCTGTCATTACAAGTTCATTTTCATTAGTGATACTTCTAATATATTTTTAAATACAAAGCTATTGTGAAAAGATGATAATATTATTTAGATTATATGTGGTAGAGCCATGCTGCAGCTATGTTATGGTTGTAGCACAAATGGGTCGGCTCGACCGGGGATGGACCACACCCTTTCAGAATACCAGCGTAAAATAGCAGCTTAATGCTGCTGTGTTTCGTAAGGTGAGTGTAGAGAACCGGAGACCCTGTTTACTGGAAATGAGGCATTCCATCTTAGCCCTCACGGTTGACAACGCATCTGCATTTTGATTCGTAATCGAAGATAGATGTAAATGTCTATGGGCCACAGCAACCACTTTCCATCAGGTGGACTGTGTGCTCGTTTGTCACCCTTGTCCTATTTAAAAAAAAATTAGATTGATATAATAATGTGCGCCAGACCGTATTTCTATCACAGCGGCTCTTTTGTATGCACAAGTATAATGGATCTGGCCACCCAATTTTGTTAAGGGTATCAAAAAATTGTATAAAAAATTACGAATTCAATGGTATTCTTATTTTTTTTTTTACCTTTAAAAATGACTGAAATATTGATGAGTAAAGTAGTATTTTACGGCAAGGGTGACCGCTTAGCTCCGCATCGCGATGTGACGTCACAAATCGACACTTCGAAGCCACCAGTAGTCTTTATTGTTATATTTTTTTTATTCTCTCCATATTTATTACTCCATATTTTTCTTGTCATGTTATTTATTTATCAGTAACCTTTATTTTCTGCTTTTTTTAAATCTGTTATATCCAGGGCTCGGAAACCGGTTCAAATTCTAAACCGGTTTCGGTCATTGACCCCAAAACCGGTTTTTGCGGAATACCGGTTATTCACAAATTTAGGTTTAGGTAGTAAGAATTAACCGGTTAAAACCAAGTTTTGTAATGTCCCCCCTCTCCCTTACCCCGCTTGCACCCAACTTTGTACGGCTGCCCTCTGTTTAATTCACGAGGTTTTTAGCCACATGAACGATATATTCATTGCTACAACACGACTACCTTGTAACGTACTCCCTCATATTTTTTCATCTTTCAGCAACGACGAACGAGTTCTGTTTCAATTAATTATGCGTTATCTTCACTTTAAAATTAAGTTTCGATATAAAGTTTAATTTGTCGTTATATATTTAAATTGGCTTTAATTATATTTAACGTTTTCTATTAAAATTACGCTATGCATCTTTATTTTAATGTCATTAGTTTTAGTAATATATCGCAATAAATGATGAACTTTCTTAACAGAACACGATATTTTTAAAACTTTATGAAATTATATGTTATAGTATTTTTGTTGTTTTTAGGACTGAAGTAAAGCAGATTACCAGGTTTTTTTTTTAATTCAGAAGCTCGTGATTAGGACCAACTTCTATCTCCATCTTTGCAAAAATCAATAATGACCACTTCTGAGGTGTAAAGTTTAACTAGAAGTCATGTCTAAACACGATAAAAAATTGTTAGTTATGTTCAGAGAATTCTGACAAAAGAAATTACCATTTTTCACATCTTTAATGAGAAATTGGAGCAAATCTTATCATTTTTTTTATAGAATTAGGGTGACAAACGAGCACACAGTCCACCTGATGGTAAGTTGTTGCTGTGGCCCATAGACATCTGCATCTATCCTCGTTTGTGAATTAAAATGCAGATGCGTTGTCAGCCTTGAGGACTAAGATAGAATGCCTCTTTTCCAGTAAAATGGGTCTCCGGTTCTCTACACTCACCATACGAAACACAGCAGCATTGAGCTACCATTTTACGCTGGTATTCTGTGAGAGCGTGGTCCTTCCCCGGTCGAGCCGACCCATTCGTGCTACAACTATACTATTAATATAGCTGCAGCATGGCTCTACCACGTAAAAAATCATATCATGTTGTATACGTACAAGATACTACTAAAAAATATTATCTTTTCTAAATAGACTAAATGACAAGCTCGTGGAAACTGTCCATGCGGTCGGAGCTAAGTTCTGCAAGACCCGCCGCAGAAGAACACAAAAACTCTCCGATCACACTCTTAATCTCATGGCTGTTAGACGGGAGATGAAGCTACATTCTTCAACAGATTTGACAGCATACAGGCAACTGAACAGACAGATCTCCAAATGCATGCGGCGGGATATACGCAACTTCAATACAGCTCGTATTGAAGAAGCGATCGAGCGGAACCAAGGCTCCAAAGTCTTTGCCAGAGATCTGTCTGCCAGAAAGCGCCAACTGTCAAAGCTGAAGACAGAATGTGGCAGCATCGTTTCCGGGGCACCTGAGATTTTGAGTGAGATTGAGAGGTTCTATGGGCAGCTGTACACGTCATCGTTGGAGCCGCACGCAAGTGTGAGTAACGATCCAAGAGCGAGTCTTATCCGACATTATTCCGATGATATCCCGGACGTCAGTCTGAGCGAGATTAGAATGGCTCTCCAGCACCTTAAAAACGGCAAGGCCCCAGGCGAGGATGGAATTACAGCGGAGCTTCTGAAAGCGGGTGGAAAACCGGTACTTGAAGTCCTTCAGAAGCTCTTTAATTCCGTCCTCCATGGTGGCATTACACCGGAGGCGTGGAGCAGAAATGCGGTGGTCTTGTTCTTCAAGAAAGGCGACAACGCTCTCTTGAAGAACTACAGACCGATTTCCCTTCTGAGCCGCGTCTACGTGCTGTTTTCGAGAGTCATTACGAATCGTCTCGCGCGCAGATTTGACAACTTCCAGCCTCCCGAA